GGAACATTAACACCTAGGCCTATTGTCCTGCGCGCTGGATACAGCACTGAACTGTCCCTCCAACCCCCCCCACCGGCTATCGGAGTCTGAGGCTGATTTAACACAAAGAGAAGTCGCAATTCACACTTAAATCGCTATTCTAGACAGTGTTGATAATGAAGGAATTAAATGATTTAAGTTACATGTAGCCTAGTGATATTTCTGTCATAAAAGTTTATTACTAAATATTTCATTATTTCAGTAATTGATGAAATAAAACTGGTTTGGGCCAGCTTTTTCCAAGCAAAACTAAATATAATATGAAAAAACGCATGTTAATTTGTTGTCATGAACGTTCAACTCAATATTAAATTCTACAGGGATCTTTGGATCCTTACAACCAGGCATGCAATTTGTGAATTAAGTTTTTTTTCTTCTTTATTATTCAAATACATATCGAACCACGGTGCTTCGTGGTAATGCTGCTAAATTAAATAACATGTATAGAATAATTATGAACTTAAATGAAACAATATCGCAACATTTCGACAAATACATTATTTGATCTGTTTTTACATTTTAATTCAGGGCGATTTAGCCTGCTACATTTAATTAGAGCGAGATTTTCACCCTTGTCTTGTCATTTTCTCATTGGGAAGCGCTTACATGCTACATGTTTGAGTAGATCCTCTGTACCTCTCGTTTTCATTATGGATTACATAATCAGATAACATTTATTAGCCTGAATATTTAGACATTTAAAGGCTTTAGACATAGCCGATTTCTTATAGTGACTGAGCTGAAGTGGCTTTCGGTTCATTTTTGTGACGCGCAGTTCCCGGAGACAGAGACGACAGATAAACTTTTGTCGTTAGCAAAAGTTCGAATAAAACCCGACTTTAGAAAAATGCATAGGGCCACTCGGCGTGGTCTGCCAAAACACTTAATTATAAACTTCAATATTTCATTCAAAATAATCTCAAAACGCTTTGTGAAATTTTGAAAAGCCGTGCATGCATTAAGGCCACTGGAACTAATGAACAACTGAAACGCTGGTTTTGATTTTATTGTTTGTCGTTTAAACGTGCTTGTTGCATATCTCTATTTTATATTTGATATGGTCTATTGGTGAAGTAGCCTATAGCATTGATTACTGTGGAGGGAGGGGTGTGGGGATTCAAATAATTCAGCAGAAGCAGGGATGTTTAGACCAGAAGGAAATCCCCGCCCCCCCTGGCAAATCACACTTTACTTAAAACCATGTTTTTAAAAACTCTAGGTTGTAGGGAATCAAAAAAATAATAATAATAGGCCTAATAAAAAAAAAAAATATATATATATAGGCTATATATATAAAATTACTTTTTTTACAGAACTGCTTTTGAAATTACGATTGGTACCGGATTGGTACAGATGCAAAGTCGTTCTGTTGGATACTATTGTTCCTTAGTGTAAAATGGAAATGCATGGTAATTTTATTTTATAAATATAAGCAAAAAACTGTATGCTGTAACAGAGTTTTAGAGCTAGACAAATCTCTCTGCATTAATAAATATAAAATTTACAGTACACAATGTTTGTTTGAGATTCGAACCCGTGTCATCTTGATGATCGAACCGTCAGTTCTACCGCTCGGCTATTAATTTCCTCACTGAGAAATGCCCAAACGTTTGTTTCTCACATAAGCGAGAAAACGTTTTGTCGTTAGCCAGAGAGTGTAGGCCTACTTTAGCCTACATGAATAAAAGTAGACCTTTTACAGTTTTAAAAGATGATATCTTATCTGTATGACCAACAATTACGCAGTAAGTTCTTTTAGCTGTTATGAGAAAAATAAATTCAAATGAACGCGCCGCCGCGTTTGTCAAACTCTAATTCAACATGCCAGAATAAAGCCAGATTTTAGAATAATGCATAGCCACTCGGCGTGGTGTGCCAAAATACCCTAATTATAAACTTCAATATTTCATTCAAAACCATCTCAAAACGCTTTGTGACATTTTAAAAAGCCGTGAATGTATTAAGGCCACTGGAACCAGGATCGTAACTGAAACGCGCTGCATGTCTCAATACAGGAAGCGCTGGTTCAGATTGTATTGTTTGTTGTTTAAACGTGCATGTTGCATATTTAAAAATATTTGTTTAAAAATAAATGTTTGTTGTAGGCTTATTTGTAAATTACCATAACTTGTAGAATTTCATCCTTACTGTTAATTGACATTAGCCCCACTTACGTTTTGATAAATGTCCCTTTGCGCCACCTGGCGGTCATTTCGCGAGCGACTTTGAAATGCGACTGGTTTATTTTTATTGTATTGGTCTACTTTAAAAAATAATACTTTATAAGACATTTATGGGAAAAGACTATTTTCTTTTCAAGATGTTTCCAACTGTAACTTTGAACCAATTCTGTAGAATGGCCCATATAGCATTTGACCAGGATTTGTTTCCAGGTATGACTAAAAATGTGCTTTTGGCTTTCATTTATATTTTGATTGTTTGTATATATATATATATATATATATATATATATATATGTGTGTGTGTGTGTGTGTATATGTATATATATATATATATATATATATATATATATATATATATATATGTAGGCTATATATATACAAGAAAGAATGCAATGACTATATATATATATATATATATATATATTAGGGATGGCCCGATACCGATACTGGCATCGGGGATCGGGCCGATACTGTCCTAATATACTCGTACTCGTACTCATAAATATTCGCCGATACCACGCACCGATACCACGTACATTTTGCGAAACGAAACTGGCCGCCGCGAGTGCTTTGTCGAGGTGAACTGAGGCATAGGAAAGTATAATGTCGGCGGTTTGGGCTCATTTCAAGATAAGGGATGATGACAACAGCAAGGCAGACTGTGAGTTATGTTCAGCTAAGGTGTCGAGAGGAGGGAAAGAAAGTACATCGTTTAACACCAGCAATCTAATTAAACATCTGAAGACGCATCATAGATCTGATGGCCGAGCGCGCGCGCGGGCGGTAGGCTAATGGACTCACTCTGTGTGTGCGGGTTACGGGAGAATAAAACGATTCGCGGGACTCCCGCAAACTAGAAATATCTATGAATAAAACATAAAAACTAAAAGATTTTTATTCATCTCTTGCATAAAAGCAACAAGAACAACTACAACAAAATAGAAACGATTTACAGGCCAGAGTTTCTATTCATAACATGGTTACAGCGTTGAGCGATGTAGCCAATCACAGACATATGTGTTGATTTCTTGAACGCAATGGCCAATCAGAAGCATTTAAGATAGACTCCCCTCACCGCTCAAAACGGACTTTTTTGTTCAGTGCTGAATTCTGTATGCTGGCAAATCCTCTAATTATAACAAACAAAGTGTGGATATTATGAAAGATTTATTGTGCAGTCAGCTTCATTGATAATAACAGAGATGTGTGAGATCGCGATGAACTGTCAGCTTTTAGGATTTATTAAGGGAGCGCTGTTTGCGCGCATTCAGTCATGCCAGAGTAGCCTCCTTGCTTTTATGTTAAATTAACAGTGGTTTGTGTGTTAATACATTTATTATTTTACTAATTTTTATTTATTTTTAGACTTGTTAAAACAAGCAGAGAAGAAAATAAAAACAGTCTTCTAACCTGTGTTCTAAAATAGTCGTCTTCTTTTCTGGGAGCCTATTACTTTTGCGGAAGAAATATCGGTATCGGTACTCGGTATCGGCAAGTACACAAATGTAAATACTCGTACTCGTATCGGGCCATCCCTAATATATATATATATTGTCCTTGCATGCATTCTTGTGTGACACCCCTGAATGAAAGGCTCATTATTATGCAGGGTCACTGTCTGAGAACCACTTAATTATTCATGATAGGGGTTGGGCCGTTCCGCCCATCCGCATATTGCCTTGGCAAACAAAAAAATGTTTTTCACAATTTAAAACAATCTATTGTTTTATGTGAATGATTAGGAAGGATGATTTTCAGATCATTTTGAAGCAAAAACTCTAGGCGACAACGTACATTAGTCAAAAGTCTTGTGGACACATATTTAGTATGTTTTTTGTGTCCTTATTTCAAAAACTTAATTTTTAAGTTTTTTCAATAACCATGCATAAACAATATTCTCTCAAAAATACAAACATGTACATACATGTTGCTCACACATTATGGTAGACCTGTTTGTGCTAAATAGAGTGTAATTTCACCTGTGCCATTAATATGTTTATAAGCAACTGAAAAAAGCACAAATGTCAGAGCATGTCAAAACATCTCAAGGACCCCAAAAACACCTTGGTCTCCAGAGGGTTAACCGATAACCGATAATTCTTTATATTTGAAATCCGATAACCGATATATTGGCCGATAATTCTAAATCCAAAGTTTTATATGATTTTGAGATATGAATAGGAATAGGACCGATATGAAAATTTTCTCCGATACCGATAACCAATAATTCGTTATATTTGAAATCCGATAACCGATGTATTTGCCGATAAATCTAAATCCAAAGTTTTATATGATTTTGAGAGAGGAATAGGACCGATATGAACATTTTAACATGTTTTGTAGTCGTACCATATGCTCAGACCTGTTGCGGCAGGAATTGGTCAGCGGCGCAGTAATAACTTGCGCTTCAAGTCCACTCGTGTTTTTTGAAATAGTGTTTTATGAGCGTCAATATGTTATGCACACACTCATCTAACACATACATTCTCGTCATAATGTCATCTCCTGTTTATGAAACAATCCTGCAGTCCATTAAAGATGAGCAGAGACTGGAAAATAAGCCTGTGCAGGTGTGTGTGTGTGTGTGTGTGTATCAGCGGTCGGTGTTGCATCACTGTGAAATGTCCTGTTGCTTGCAGCCTCTTTCCTCTTTCAGTCATTGTGTGAATATATTTATATTCTGACTCCAGTTATGTTGGAACAGTGTCTGGTTTGGAGTGCACATATGTTGTTGGACATGTTTTATATTTATTTATTTATTTATTTATTTTCCTACAGGTTCAGAGGGTTCTGAATAATTTATATGAAAACAAGAAGATTGCAAGCGCCACACACAATATCTATGCATACAGGTATTTCTGTTTTTAGTTCATTAAAAAAATACTTTGCCGTTGCTAAGCAAATATTTTTTCTCTTTTAGACAAATTAGTTCAACCCTAACTTACTTTACATACTCCATGTAGTCATTTGTGCAGTTTGTTTTATGTACATAATTTCTGCGTTAAATGTGCACGTTTCATATTTTTATCCATGAAATTTTATAGCAACTTTTTAAGATATTTAAAGAAATCATTGTAATATTTGCATCTAATAGACGTGGCCAAGCATGTTTTATATATGTTGTACATTTTTACGTTTACACTTTAAAAAATCCAATGTCGTAAGAAAAATCAATTTAATTCAAGATAAATTATTGAAATATTTTAATACATTTCAAAGCAATTCATCTTGTTTTAAAGTCCCCCTGTGGTGAAAATCCAGTTTTTAATGTTGTTTATGTGTCTATGCGGTGTTTTTAATATGCTTTAAGACAAACCATGTGTAAATTGAACAAAAATGTTAAGTATTTTCTCCTTAAAACTGCAGTGAACCAAAGACAGTCTCAAAAACACGGTTTGAAATCGCTGGTGTTTCTGACGTCACAAACGACCTTGTAACCAATCAGATCAACGTGTGATCGTCAACCAGTGGATCTCTGAGCTGAGTGAGTGAGTGGAGGCGGGGCTCATTTGCATATTCATAGAACCGCCGCGCATACTAAATGAGGCAAGGGTGTCGAGTTACACTCAAGATATTTTAAGGCAGTTTTTCAAGGAAAAAAGTTTAAATATGTCGTTTTGGTGATCAAAGATGAGTTTTAAGGGATAAAATGATTGACTACACGGAGACTTTAAGGAAGTTGAGATGTTTTTGCCTCAGAAACCTGCTTAGAACAACAGATTTACAGCAGATTCTTTTAGAACATATTTTTTTCTTAGTTTGTTATTCAATTGCAGGCAGTATTTCAATTATTTATGCATTTCGAGTTATGCATTGACGAGATAAGAAATGTAATGTTTGTGCGTGACGTGTGTGTTGTTATGCAAGCGTCGCCCCGGGTGGTTCCTCAGGACATGATCAGTGACATACAGTGGGGGAGGAGTGTGTGTGTGTGTGAGATTAAACCACAGGTGATATTGACATTCAGCATGTTCCCGAAGCCCCCGGCGTATGAGGACGCAAGGGTTTTCCGTTCTCAACCCTGTTTGGGAAGGTGAAGCCTGGAGCCGCCCAAAACCTCAAAGTAAAGCTGATGTTTTAATTACAAGTTATCATTGGTGATTACATTTTGACTGCGGTCTGTCATTAACTTCAGAAAGATTGGATTGCCTTTTATTAACAGCTTGAGACTTTAAAGGTTGTATCAGCGATTTCAGGCCCAAACATAAATGATCACATTCATCTAATCTTTCCTAAGGATCCGCTGCCTGCCCCATAAGCAGGCCGTCAAACACCGCGTCTCTGTGGGCAGCCTCGGCTCTGAGATCTGCACACAACAACATTGGGTTCACCAACCACTCAAAACCAAAATAAATAATAAATAGTGTTCCAACCAGTCACCGAATAAGTCAGATATTCTTTAGCTAAATTTGCTAAAACAGGAGACTCACAAAAAGGGTAAAATAAGTGTTCAAATGCAGATTGTAAAACACAGTTGTAAGTAATATTGTTTTGTTTTTTTGTTTTTGTTGCTTTTTTAAATTACATGGCTAGTGTTAAGTTTAAGGCAAAAACATGTTGTTTTTTTATGCACTGTTTGGCTTTTAATAATGTAGTGGAAAGATCCAAAAACACATTTAAGTGTTTATTTTATTGCACTTCATCTATTTGCTTCTGTAAGTTTCCATTACTATATATATATTTTTAAAGGCCGTTACTTCAAATGAGTTTTGTTCTCCATTTCAGCAGCTCTTAAATACACCAAACTTTACAGTTTTATTCCTGTCTGTATTCTGAAGGATTTTTTTGAGGGTTTGTTCATATTTCATTAGCATGATTTTATACAACATTTTATTCCCTTTTTTGCCTGTTGACAGTATTTTCTGTTTTATAGAGTGCTATAAAAAGACGAATCCAAAATCCCTTCTGTAAAGCCTTTCACTCTAGCTTGTTCACACTAAAGACGATAACTAACTATAACTATAAAGATATTAGAGCTGCACAATTAAAAGGGATAGTTCAGCCAAAAAATGAAAATTATCCCATGATTTACTCACCCTCAAGCCATCCATAGGTGTATATGACTTTCTTCTTTCAGACGAATACATTCGCAGTTATATTAAGAAATCCTGGCTCTTCCAAGCTTTATAATGGCAGTGAATGGCACATCTGATTTTGAAGTCCAAAAAAGTGCATCTGTCCATCATAAAAGTGCATCTATCTATCATAAAAGTGCATCTATCCATCATAAAAGTGCTTCTATCCATCATAAAAGTGCATCTATCCATCATAAATGTGCATCTATCCATCATAAAAGTGCATCTATCCATCATAAAAGTGCATCCATCCATCATAAAAGTGCATCTGTCCATCATAAAAGTGCATCTGTCCATCATAAAAGTGCATCTGTCCATCATAAAAGTACATCTGTCCATCATAAAAGTGCATCTATCCATCATAAAAGTGCATCTGTCCATCATAAAAGTGCATCTGTCCATCATAAAAGTCCATATATCCATCATAAAAGTGCATCTGTCCATCATAAAAGTGCATCTATCCATCATAAAAGTGCATTTGTCCATCATAAAAGTGCATCTGTCCATCATAAAAGTGCATCTGTCCATCATAAAAGTGCATCTATCCATCATAAAAGTGCATCTATCCATCATAAAAGTGCATTTGTCCATCATAAAAGTGCATCTATCCATCATAAAAGTGCATCTGTCCATCATAAAAGTGCATCTATCCATCATAAAAGTGCATCTATCCATCATAAAAGTGCATCTATCCATCATAAAAGTGCATTGAGTGTAACTCGACACCCTTGCCTCATTTAGTATGCGCGGCGGTTCTATGAATATGCAAATGAGCCCCGCCTCTACTCACTCACTCAGCTCAGAGATCCACTGGTTGACGATCACACGTTGATCTGATTGGTTACAAGGTCGTTTGTGATGTCGGAAACACCAGCGATTTCAAACCGTGTTTTTGAGACTGTCTTTGGTTCACTGCAGTTTTAAGCAGAAAATACTCAGCAATGCTGTCGACTTATGAACTTACACATGGTTTGTCTTAAAGCGTATTAAAAACACCACATAGACATATAAACAACATTAAAAGCTGGATTTTCACCACAGGGGGACTTTAAAATGTCTCTCTATCGCTCTATCGGCTCCTTGAAAATCAAAGTTTAGTACCACCACATTAAGTACGTACAGTGAGACTGCATTGTTTGTGCCATGGACTTCAATGATAACACCAGTACTTAAAATAGCTTAGCAACTTTTATCTCATAAAAGGTCCTGTTGCTTTGTTAAAACATACTTTCATAAATCTGGTGCTCTTTGGTCATTTTTGACAGAAAAATGTTACGTTTTGTTTGTTTAGAATTTTTTTCTTCATCGGAATGGTGCGAAACTTGGTAAAGGTTTTGGCACTTGCTGTGACAAACAAACAAAAAATCATAGACATGTTTCGAACAGGTTAAATGGTCCTGTAAACAATAGTCACGCTTGTGCTCCTCGCGGTCAGAAACGAGCGCATTGGAAATGAATGGAGACGAGTTTCCTCTAGTGGAAGCGTTCGGTACTGCAGCCGAACAACATCTCACTGAACAAGCTCATTTACTGAGATATCAGCCTCATATTTGAACAACTTGTTTAGGTTTATGGCTTTGATTTTCTTGCAGTTTTAGAGTAAAATGTGTTTTTGAAAATATATTGAAAATTGAAAATAGTATTTTTGTGCATTTTTCATAACATTAATGTACAATTCTGTAACTTTTTTAAGTTCACTTTTTAAACTTTTTTCACGTCAGCAAGTGTCGTCTTTGAAAAGAGATCAAACTTCAGTCTGTCGCTATACTCAAAAAGTGAATAAATGGATTATAAATACAGCGTAAATATCATTTAGTGCCCTAAAATCCCCTACAAATACAAAAAATAAATAAAAAACATTATCAAACTAAAATATAGTACATTCATTTCATTGAAGAAAAAAAAAATCCGTCATTTTTGCCCGACACACGAAGAGCACCAGAGGGTTAATAGCAGACTTGATTTCAACTGTGACTTCACACAACGATTAGCCACTTTATTCACATGAGATTCTCCATTCCCGTCCACGACACATATGATGAGCCGTGTGTGAAAGGTCTCTCCGGGCAGCGATGTCTCTGTTAGTGAACTGACTGTCAACACTGCTATTCCCCAAATGATGGACCGTGTGGTCTCAAAACCCTCAGCGGGGCGTCCTAATTTCCCACACTCCTCCCTGTGCCTGATATTATTCCTCATCCAAATCCTCTTCCAATTTCGCTCTGAAATACACCCAGACGCCTCGCAAACACGGCATAATGCGAGGGAGAGTCCCTGCGGGCTGTTTTGAGAAAAGTGGCCACACTGAGGCCAAGTTTTTCCCACATTTATTTCACAATGCCCTCATGTTTTCATCAGGATCTACTTGGAGGATAAAGACTCGTTCCTGCAGGACTGTGAGGATGATGGAGAAACTGCTGCGGGGGGGCGATTGCTGCATCTTTTGCAGGTAAATGTGTGTTTGTGTCAGGTGACATGTTGGCTAGCGGATGTTATTCAAGATATTATGGGCCCTATCTTGCACTCGGCGCAAATGACTTTGTACACTGACGCATGTATCATTCCTATTTTGCACCCGCGCAAAGCGGGCTTTTCCCTCCACAGACACACGTCAGTTAACTAAGAAATACACTTGCGCTCCCCGGGGCGGTTCAGCGCAAAGAGGAGGCGTGTTCCGGCGCAAACTTTCCCTCATGTTATTTTGCTGTTCTATAAAACAATTGCGCCACTGACCAGAAAAAACCTAGTCTAAAGTCAGTGGCGTGTTGCGCGTTGTTCATTATGCTATTTTAAGCGCGCATGTTTGGCCATAATGTAGCGGGTGCACAACGCGCATACACGTTGATTCTCTCATCTAAGCAGCAGTTTTCATTTTTGCAAATCATACATTATTACGATAGATAGATAGATAGATAGATAGATAGATAGATAGATAGATAGATAGATAGATAGATAGATAGATAGATAGATAGATAGATAGATAGATAGATAGATGGATAGAAAATGTATTATAAAAGCATACATGTAGCTTACACATTTACCCAAATTATCATACGCCTGTTTAACAGAAGTTAATTTGGGTGGGTTTCTCCATCCTCCATGTCACTTCTCTGTGTTTTACGGCCCTGACGAGAACGTTGCTCTCCTCGGCTGTGAACCGCTCCTGGCGCGCGCCTGGCAAATCCGCCGTTATAATAGGAATCCGCTTTAGAACAAGCGCGCCTGCTCTTAAAGGGAATGTGAGATGACGCTCTGATTGGTTTATTTCACGTTACGCCCAAACCACACCTATGAATAATGAAGCTACTTCAGACCAACCCCTTTTAGATTTGCGCCAGGCGCAAGAGGCATTTATCCCGCCGGGAAAATAGCAACAGCGCCGGGATCCGCCCACAAAGTTACTTGCGCTTTGCGCTTTGACACTTGCGTTTCAGATCGTTAAAATAGGGCCCTATGAGTTCTAATGGGTTTTCTTTGCTCAGTTCTTTAAATATTTAAAGGTTTCACCCAAAAATGTACATGTCTTTCAAAAGGAGAATTTTTAAACGTTGTTTAAGCCGTCTTTTCCATACAGCCAAAGCATAAGAACCGATATACAACCAAAGAACATGAAATGTCCAGTTCAAATATATAATATAAAATGCTTACCAATGCTGCATTTATTTGATGAAAAATTCAGTAAAAACGGTAATATTGTGACATATTTGTACTATTTAAAAGAGTGGTTTTCTATTTAAATATATTGTGAAATTAAATGTATTCCTGTGACAGCAATGAATCATCATATTAGAGTGATTTCTGAAGGATCATGTGACACTGAAGACTGGAGTAATGATGCTGAAAATACAGCTTTGATCACAGGAATAAATTTAATTTAAAAATATATTAAAATAGAAAACAGTTATTTTAAAGTGTCATAATATTTAAAGCTGCAGTCCGTAACTTTTTTGGGTTAAAAATTATCAAAAGTAAAAATTTGTAAAAAAAAAAAAAATTTGAGCAAGTACACAAGTACATAACCAGCCAGTGTTCAACACTCTCTGCTTGCCGTAGCTCGACTCACAGCGGTAAGCTTTTAATAATGTTTTTAATTCCAGTGGTACTGGTGGATTTCAGCGGGAGATTCGAGCATGTCTTTGCGTCATTACGTCACATCTGCACACACACATCTGCACACACACACATCTGTACACACACACATCTGTACACATAAAGAAGAGTCTCGGCTAGTCGGCTATGAATGTGAGGATGTTGGAGGTGGAGATTTATAGCCTTTTCTCACAGCACTTGATATAATTAAACTTATTAATTTGATGGTGGATCCAGAAATGTTCAAACGACGATCACCAGTGACACCAGATTCACCCGCTGTAAAATGCAAAAGACTTCGGACTGAGAGTTTGGAAGAAGAGACTGCAACGGCGCATGCGAAAACAAGGATAATATCTGAAGGGCTTTAAATGCAGTCACACAATGCTGACGTTGAACATTAACAAATTGAGAACAAAGTATAATTTGCACGGTTTGACGTGATATGATAAACGACCATTAGATTTAATCAGCGCGATTTACTGCAATTTTTGCTTCACATCAGGTTGTATTTATTTGATGAAAAAAACAGTAAAAACAGTAATATTGTGAAATATTTTTACAATTTAAAAGAGTAATTTTCTGTCTTAATATATTGTGAAATTTAATTTATTCCTGTGATATAATAAATTACATTTTTCAATATATTCAAATAGAAACTAGTTATCTCAAAATGTAATATTATTTCACCGTTTTTACTAGCCTAGAAATCTAGACGCACCCTAGCGGCAGCGAAAATTATTTCGCAGCCAGTGTGGTCTAGCAACAACTTTTGAGCTGTAAAAACCAAAAACTGGTCAGGCCAATCACATCGTGTATAGAGTCGGCGGGCGGGCTTAACACAATGACGGGACAGTTCATGACGTTCCGCGTGATTTCCATAGGTGATTTCCCCGCTACTTGAAAACAAGATGCAGCGGTCTTTCGAATCGGCTTTGGCCACGACTCTGGAGGACTTGGAGTTAAGAGAACGTCACTTAAGTCATTCTTAAAAAAGGAAGATGTGTTCGGAGTTTTACCGACCTGATACGGCAAAAGTTTAATATATCAATTAGCTCCGCTGGTGGAAAAACGCATGGGACTCACTCATCCACAGCCGTTCGTTGCTCTGGTTGGTTGTAGCACTATCCTATTGCGTGCAGAGGGATTTTGAAAGGTAACCGTTTATCTCGCCCCTCGGATTGAGGTATGCCAATGGAGAGTTCCCAGACCTAACATCTTGATGTAGGTCTGGCATGCCAGGCTACGTTTTTACTGTATTTTTCATCAAATAAATGCAGCCTTTGTGAACACAAGAGACTTCTCTCAAGAGTATTAAAAACAATCATAATTATTCTAAACTTTTGACCAGTAGTGTATATCCCCAATTCGTGTGTTTGCTAAAGGCTGTGCCTGCATGGCTCAGTAACAGTGGTTTACAGCACCGGATCCTGAAGCGTTCCTCAAGCTGTGCACGTATTCAAAGTCAATGGATCATTTTAGCAGGCTTATTGATATGCTGTGGGATTATCCATGCGCTCCCCCTGTCTTGATCCCAATTCCATTCTTGCGATGTCAGATATTTGCACACGGATATATCATCCATCCATAATCTTTCCTCTTATCTCCCCTTCTCTGATTAAAGGCATCAAAAGCCTCCAGTGTGAAATACGACATGACACTGTAATCTCGATACAGCATTTCCGCCAATAACCTCGTCGTGATGTTCGTTAAACTCAGGAGACGGCGCATCTGTGCTGGTGTTTCTCAAATGATCTTCAATGAAGTGTGGTTTAGTTTGTCGCAGGTGGTGTATTATTTATTATGAGTTTCGATGTGCCTTCAGTTGACGGACACGTCATTTATAATTTTGATACACAGGTTCTCCGGCGACTTCAATTTTCGCATCCGAGTGAAACGACTTTATTTGTTGTTTTATGCTTTATACAGTCAAACCAAAAACTATTCAGACACCAGATATAAATTTTGATATTTTTTTTACTAGTGTGTGCAGGACACTATAGTTCATTTCTGTAAGTGAGGAGAGCAAAATAAAGTAAACTGTGACATATTACACCCAAAAACTCTTCATACAGTGACTACCAGTGACATTTAGAAAAGTTTGGCACCAAAAATGATTCCTCCACTTTGAGCTGATCATGTTTTGCTGAAGTGTGTTTTCTGTAATTGCTAATGCTCTTTTTACACACAGACTGAACAACATGAAGCATTGCTTGGTCACTGGTTGAGCTAAACTGGTATTATCTAATTGTGTAGTTAAATTTAACAGCTGACAGATATTCAACATAATTCATGTGTGAGAGTCTAACAGAAGGACGGACAAAACCAGTCAAATATCCACTGAGTTCTTGACATGTGTTATTACCATTTTCTAAACTATAGGGAATAAACTGTGATAATGTGAGAAATGTTGAAGGTGTCTGAATACATTTAGGTTTGACTGTATGTGAAATAACTCATGAATATATAAATCTAAAAATATAAAACATGGCCTGTTGGAGAGCTTTATTGACCTCTTTCTTGGTGCATTAATGAAAACTAACAGCCGTTCACATGCGATCATTCAGCCTTTTGGAGTTCATCCCACTATTTCCTGTTTTCTGAATGTGACGGCATGTTTGAAAGAGAAAATACTACTAATAGTGTGTGCAGATGGCAGTGATTTTCCCCTTCTCTCCGGCGTTCAGCAAGCTTCACCCCTGCGGCGCTGGGAAAAACACAACAGGCGAGGACTGTAAAGGCACTTGAGAGCTGTCATTCTTTTCAAAGGCCATATTTAGTCTATTCTGCGCCTTTAAGCAACTCCTTTCCCACACAGGAACTGACAGGCTACGTGCCGTCTTGGGGAAAATGTGGCATGAAGGAAACATTTGTGAATCTTTTCATGCACGACTTGTGTTTCAATCGGACTAGATTCATTCCAATTTATGAATCTGAATAGTGTTTATATGAACGCTAAACAGGATCGGGTTATATGTCACAAGCTTCAAATCAGAATATGTTTTTTATATGCACACACTGCACGAATATACACTGGCTACGTTTACATGCAACCAAATAATCCGTTAGTAACGGCTCAATCGGACTGAAAAGCCTTCATATAAACGCCTTAATCGATCCCAATGACATTTCGTTTGGATTAAAAAGGAAGCTTCATTCCTTTTCTAATCCGATCGAGAGAACATGTAAACACTTGATCGGATTGAAAACCGAAACTGAAAGGACTGCGCGTGTGCAATGATGTAGAAATAGCGCAATGACGTGTGATGCACTGAACGAGCTGTTCCCTTTCGTAGTCACTCCGAGTTACGTCGGATGACGGAGAATGGGGGTTTCGCCAGAAAGCCTATCATCTTCGAG